AATTTTTCTAATTTCATAGACAACAAAGTACTGAATTGTCCCCCCTCTGACTCGAAAGCTGGATCCGCCACTGTATCTAACAATATATATCTTTGCCCATTTTTCCTCGTTTTGGTGAGGCAGAAAATATCCCCTTTTGCACTGTTTACTCCCTCTTCTACTACTACTTCCTATAGTTTATTGGATATACCCTGTACGTTACACAGAAAATATGAACTTTCAACCAGTTTCAACCAGTTTGATTATCTCCTAAAGTGTTTAACAATCTTCCGCAAAAAGACGGGTTTTATAACCGTTTCTCAGTGCAAGGGACACTGGAAGATCAGTAAACTTTCAAGCGAAACATGTCTGAAGATACAAGCCACTGGTGCTACAAAACGTCAAGAACGCCTGCCACAACGGCAGTTTTAGGCAATGGTAGCGAAAGCCTAACTTTTTTAATGTACGATTTCATATCAATCATGTTGATAGAAGCATATAATTGCATAATCGTATTCTCATTTTAAAGTGTGCCACTAAATATTGCATACAACTATGTCAAAGTAAATTAGTACAAAGTAAAGAACCCAAATCTATACTTCTATGACCGGTTACGACTTACTTTTCAAACAGTAGTCCATACTCTAGTGGCAGTTCCGTTGGATTCTGAACCACTAAACCCCATCCTATTTGAAAAATCATTATATCTTCGTTTATATTGGCAACAGCAAGCTGATGGCATTTTAAAAGATTCCAGCAACAGCTCCCCTCTCTCATTTAATGCGAATAACTTTTTGTAAATGTACTTTTGCTTACAGAAAGTTTCGTATTCTAATGGAGCGCCCCCCGGTATATCACATTCTCGCTCTGGGCTACAAAAAACAAAGACTATTAAAAACTATGTTTTAAATATAGAAAATTCCGTTGCATACTTTCTGCAGACTTCGACTTGAACGCCTTGAACAAACCCATCCCCTGATCCCTGATTAACAATAAATCTCCATTGGTTGTCCTTATTTTGTCCTGATTTGGGAAATATTGTTCTGGTTATGGAACTGCATACAAATCTCCCATCTTCGCCGTATTGTCGATCTGAGAAAAAATCATCTTCAGGTACCTATAATGATACTAGTGAGTTTTTCTACTGATGCAAGTGAAGGAATGTTACCTCACTCTGGCCAAAAAACAATTTTGGCATTCTGTAGTTCTTTAAGACATCTTCAATGTATCGATGCGGATAAAAATCAACATTTTCACACATTGCTTCTCCTTTTTTGCATTTCGATATTTGAAGTTGAACTGAAAAAATGTCCGACGAACTTCAAAAAGTTTATAAAAGTATTTGCGCTAAAACAGTTGTTATACGCACATAGTAATAACAATATATTTAATTTACTGTTATTAATAATATACATATGTCCTTTTACGTTTCACGTTAATCAGATTCGTGTTGTTCATGGTAAATATAGGTATTATTATTACTAATTGAAGTTTAGCTTTTTATGTGATTTAGACGATTTGTGACCGCATTGAAACCGCAGAAAAGCAGATTACAATGAATCTGGAGAAGTTATGGGTTAGTTAATGTCAGCCTGAGATGTTTTAAGTATGGTTGGTTAGATTGTGTCGGATGAACTAATTACGTGTGACTAAAAATTCTGAATTAAAATGGACAATTTAATTGTACCGAAATAATAAAAACCATACAATAAAAACATTTCTCTGGTAGAGCTGGAAAAAAAATCAATTGTTCTAATTATATTAAAACTCGCTTCAAATATAAGAAATTTTGGAAAAAGATTTTTCTCCATTAAGCATTTGATTTCTTTCTTCCTTATTACTACAATAAATTTGAACTTAATGTTATAAAAATTTTGCAAAATGCTACACTACACCACATGTGTTAATTTCTTTAAATTTGTTAGTAAAAACATTATGTTAAATTATTGTCCATTGCTGGCGGCACTAAGAGTTTTCAACCCTTTACTACTTTTGATTTCATAGTCCAAGTCTAGCCATTCTTCTAATGCTCAAATAACCACTACTATGTATATTCCTTATTTCCTCTAAAATACTAATCTCAAAGGTTTAGCTGTTTCTACCCTCCAAATGATAAACGGGGGACGCAATCTTTGCACTTTGGATTTACATCTGATTTCAGATTTTATCTATTATAACAGATTTAACGGCTAGCAAAAATGCGTTAACATCAAAACGTGTTTAGCGTCAAGCAATGGCGCCTGAATGCATTTTTATTAACCACAAGTTTCTTCATTTCATTTAGATTTAACCCTTAGAGAGTACAAAGCTAAAGACGATTGATTTTAGGTAGGAGTTACTCACCTGAGCCTCTGCTATCATTAAAATCAAACAATGTTAATTGGGCACTTTCACATATAAAATTAAACTGAAACAGGAAACATGTCTCAACTTTCATCACTTTTGTAGCACAATATGTTGAATTTCGCCTACTCAAAAGGCCGTTAGACCTTAAATACATATATTTAAAATGAATGCTTAAAATTGTGATTTACCCTGATGCTGCAAAACTATTCTATTTTTGTTTAGAATAGAAATATCTAGGCAAACAGCAACATTCAGATATAAATGCGATACGTTCAAATTCCAAAGAAACTGGACAATATTGACAAATATAATACTTACTATCAAAATTATAAACAAATACAGACACATAACTGGCATTATTTTACACAGAAAAATACACGAAATAAACTACATTTGTACAAATATCTTCTGCAGTGTTACTGAGAATCCCTAAAGAACTTAACCCGAAAAAGGCTTATTTAAACTTTGGCAAAAACAGATGGTAAATGTTTATTATTTGGGTTGGTTATTTGGATCTTTTAGATCAAATGCTATAAATCTAGGCTCAATGTGGAATTGATACAGTAAGGATTATGAATGAAATTATTTAATTAATTATATTAATTTTTTTCAGCGTTTCAGCAAAATTAGTATCTACAATTAATTAAATTATTTACTCTAGCTACTAACAACTGCAGTTGCAGTTATGTTTCAAATTTCCTTAAAAAGTTTGGTCTATTAGATATGTTTGTTACCGAATGACTGAGTGAATAGCTGAGTTATAATTGGATGAACACAGTTTGCCATGTTTTCACAGAATGTGAAAATGCTTTATTTTTTACAGAAAGCAAGTTTTTACAGGATTTTAAATATAAATTGTTAAGAAGTCAGTGTCCCAACTATTTCAAAATATCAAAATGAAATGTGAGTCGGAAAATAAATTTGGCACATTTTCTTACGTGTGAATCACAATTTGAGTTCTAACATTGATGTTCGTATAATATAAGTAGAAATAATAATGGTGCTCCTCAGTGTGTAATCATTTGAAAATGATCACATTTTCCAGTTGATTTACATCTTCTCTATTTTTGTAACAAAGCGTTTTCCGACAGTTTTCTAATTTAGTACATAATTTTGTTTTTAGAACTCAACATAAGAAAAAATGTTTTCGATCATTGTGTTGAATTTTGCATCTACCCAATATCAGCGGTGTTCCAAAGCTGGTGGTACACATGCTCCTGTATACAGAAAAGATATAAATACAATACTAAGTTGAAAACTTAATTTAACGTTTGGACATGGTGGTATAGCAAAATCAAATACAAAAATCACAATATGCGATCGATACGGATAATATTTCGACCCCCGTTGAATGTTAAAGCATTTTTTAACGATAGCTTTAACCTGGTACTTAATTAATGTATTTAAATTAACCGTTTCGGGTATAATAAGTATAATTTCCTGGTGACCAGTGTACAAAAATACAAAAAAAAAATTGAGGCGAAATACCCATCAATCAGTTTGTAAAAAAATACAAAAATATTGGAAGTGCTAAAGAGGCGTAAGTGCCTGCAATTAAATAATGCACAATTATTTTATTTATTAAATAATTCTTTATAAACGTGATTAAGGTTGGGCCTAAATTATTTCAGGTAATTTTTACAATGCAAATAAAAAATATATATATTTTTTGTATTAATAAGTAAGCCAATTATTAGCGCAAGTTATTAGCGCGCGATAAATTTAAGTAAGATAAATTTTTTTGTTAATTTTACTTCTTTATTTGAATTATCATTTACTAATATGTCTTTAACGTTTTGGTAAACTCAACAATGGATTTCCTAACATATCGAAAATAATTCTTTAAGTTTAAAACTAGCTAGGATTTTGCTTGAAATAAGACTGTATGTACTTTTTGCTTCTGGAACGGAATATTATTAATCAAATTATTACGAATAATTAAACGATGTTTATGAGATAATAGAAGACCGATCAGATTGCTTAATCTCAATATTGATTACACCCTTATTCGGTCAAAAACATTTATTTGCACCACACGTTACTTCCAGCAAAAACGCGAAATTCTACAAAATTTGCTAGCTTCCTAGAAAGGCAAAACAATAGAAACTTCGAACGAATTAAAAAGAAAAAAAGCAAAAAAATCGTTTGAAGGTTACAATTATTCGGTAATCGCAAAGGCAACAAAGAAAAGACATCAGAATAGGGAACAAAGCCCAGACTGGATTATGAAAAGTGTTTAATTCAATAAAGCAAAGTTCAAGAACGTAACATATTTTAGATGAAATTGGATATTTTCATCATATTTAGTAATTGTTGTAGTAAAGAGTATCGGTTTCATCACGATCGGATAGAGTAAAAAACTAAAATAAAAAATCCACAGCGCAAAAGGATGAAGAAAATGAATTACAAGTAAATGCATAGTAGGCGCGCCAATGAGTTTCAAATATTTAGATGTACCAAACAAATTTACATTGCAAAGTTACATTGAAGAACTAATGAAAATACTGATCATAAATTCAGAAACCTGAAGAAAATGATAATTGCTTAAACTACCTTAAGTAATCTATTACAGATCTATTTAGACTCTCGTTCTCACTTACAGGTGAAAAAATCACTAGTACACTTGAGCACTTGAATTCTTGTGGACCCCTGCAGGACGAAAAGAAAGAGTTTTTAAATCTACTGAACAAAATAATTTATTGTCTGAAAGCGCTTCAAAACATTGTACATTTTCAGATGAAAATATATATAGCTAAGAGAAAGGATAAATATAACCAAAACATGGAAGAAAATATTATTCAACATCGACACCAAATAAAATTGTCAAACATGCTGATGATGGTGAGCACCACAATAGCTAAAACCAGAGTCACTATTCATATGCAATTTCTTAGAAATTAGGAATACATAAGATAGCAACATTCTATAACTTAATTGAGAAGATCCTACAATATGTTTAAAACTAAAATACAAAAGTTCATTGGGCCGTACTTAGATGCAAGAAAGAAGGAGCTCAATCCGATAGAAATAAATCAAAATACAAACTCTTATTATGTGGACTGATATATGAAAAGTATCTCAAAGTTTACGTCAAAATCTGGTTACAAATTCTGAGATAGTGAAAATTAGTGAAATTCGACCATATGAATGAAGGTGGATCACTTTTTTACGGCCCCTGTAACTTGAGTCTCTTTGACGTTGAAGCTACGGATTCCAAATCGTAAACTTTTCTTATACTTTACTTCCGTTTTTCTATTTCTTAATTATCAGACCTTTAAAAGTCAATTTATATGTTTTTACTCAGCGTTTGATCGATAAGTAAGTGGTTTTGAAGGTATATTACAAGATTTGATCGACTTATTGAGATACATATAATATTCTAGACGTATTTTTTATTTTCGCTGGCGTTTACAATGTACGTAGTCAGTTAGCATTCAAATGTAATGTTTTACGGTAAAAAAATACAACGGTATAATGAAAGTAGTGATTTCTGATTATAAATATGTGATTGTTTTGGAATTAGTGTGATTGGCGTAGTAAAGTTAACAAACCTTATCTCATTATCAAAAGTAAAGGAATACCTTTCACATAATTGTCGTATAATGCTGAATAGTGTGTTAATATAGCCAATCAATATGGAACTAAAGAAAATTGAGACAGAGGAAAAAATTTATTCTCAAATCCTAGCAGTTTTAGTAGGTAGGTTGTATATTTCAATTTCAATACTAATAGCAGAAAGCTAATGACCCGCAATTTGCCAGTTTCCTTAGGGCTTTTCTCAAATGGGATAATCTTCGTTTGGAGTTCACCGTTTAGCTTGGTCATAACTCAGGATAAAGTTAACTATGACATTTCAGAAGAAGAAGCATCATATTTTATAGTAATTCAACCAGTTGGTAAGTCTTATAAGGCGACCATGAATTTGAAACTGATTCACATGCTTTTAGGAATGATAACATGTAGTTTATTTTATTTTAAAATCGCCGACTTCCTGGGAAGAAAAAAGGCCTTATTTTTCTTAACCGTTCCTTACCTAATTAGTTGGCTAATAACAATTTTTGCCAAGAGCAAATTCGAGTTTTATGCCGCCAGGTTTATTGCTGGCATTGGAGATACCGCAGCATTTTGCAGTATTCCATCTTATGTTGGCGAAATTCTTTCCCCATCAATTAGAGGCTTCTGGGGAAATTTTCCTTTATTCATGCATTACTGCGGACACCTTTTCATAAATGTGGCAGGTATGTATTAAAAAAAAAAACAATGTTTAATACGTTAAAAGCCATATTGATTTTCATGTTTGAAGTTGAAATAGGTTTAAAAGGAAGGAAGCGGGTGTGCACACTGTGAAGAAAATCCAATAAAGGAGATGTAAATTTATATACACACACTATGATACAAATTTGCATCTCCTTTGATTGGATGAGATAAGTTTACTCATGTATGATCGATGCACTCATCGAAATGAAAATGTTTTGCTGACTTAATACAAAATTAATTAATACGAATTATTAGAAATATCCATATAGGTACGTACCTACAAAGTTTTAATTTGATTCACTTTACTTAATTTAACTTATTTAGTTTAAATGGAAAGAAGGATGCATACATAGTTTACTAATATACCTGGTGTAGTGATATATAAGATTTAAAAATATTTTTATTGCCTTAGATACCAATTCTAGAAAAAAGTAGTAGCTAGAATTCTATAGAGATACAGACATTTAAGTTTACTATTTTATATTATATTTTTTATTGTTCCAACCGCCGCAATTATATAATCGCATAATAAATGTGTTAATTAACGAAATGTTGCGAAATGTGCGTTCTTAAAAAGAAGTCGTGCTTACCTTCAAAATAATGCAATAAAAACAAAACGCATTTTTAATATATTGTTGATTGAAAAGAAAATAAATCTAAAATTAAAATTTAAAAACATTTTTTCAAGGATATCAACTGTGGATAAAAAAATATATATGTTTCAAATCTACCGTACATCATTAATACAACTATGTACTAGTTTTCACCAACAAATAATTTTGATTTTTGATAAATACGGCCAAAATTTTACGTTTTTTATTAAGTCGACTAAAACCAATTACCAAATGAGCTACTAAAAACACCAATTTAAATGATTATAACATTTTTTATTTTGATACCTTTTTACTTACTCATAGTGAGTAAGTATATGTATCATCATGTATGTATTAACACACACAAAGTTTATAATGTATTTCGGACTCCTTAGAGGTATAGTTTAATAAGTAATAATGCAAGTGTGGTCCAAATGGCCTCAGTATTAAAAAGTTGATCAGAATAGAAAACAAAATATTAATAATCAAATTAAGAAATAAGAATAATTAATAAATAAGAAAATATTAACGCAAAAATTAAGTTAAATGCAGTTTTTGACATAAAAAACTTTAGGTTTCAATTCCAATTTCAGAAAGAATACACATTGAAGATAGTTTAGTATTCTGAATGATTATATGGAATTCAACTCCAAAGTGATTTGTTTCCAACAAAATAAATAAATGAATCCCGCAGATTTCTTCAACTGCCAGCTTTTTTATAAATTAAGTAGAATTTTTTTCAGTTTAGCTTAGTCCGAATATTCAGTTTGGTTTATTCCATAAAAATCAATATAAAAAGTACTTACAGTTTAATCAACTGATCGATTGGATAATGCATCATTTCATATCATTAAAAACCAGTTAATTGAATTAAAAAAATACTTCCA